ATTAAAAAAAAGATTTATTAACTATTCGCATTTTTTTCTCTCTAACACATCATGGTTTATATAAAACATTTTATATGATTTAAAGAAACCTTGTGCCCACTAGTATTTTTTACCTGGCCACAATAAAATATTACTTAATATAAAAATACCATTTTCAATACATTTGCTTAAAAAACGCATTCACGGAGGTTGTATACATTGTTCGAAAGTTGAAATTACGAGCCACATAACGGAGCGTTCGGTAAAACATTTTACCACACGCTCCCTTATAGCGCCATGCATATCCTTTAGGTTTTTTTTTATTTCGGACGAACCTCCTTGGAAGCGCTTTGAATGTATACCTTTGTCTCACTTTAATACTATAATGAAGAAGAGAGACGAAAAATGTACTTCTAATTTTCACAGCCCGCTCGTGTCGCCATTGGGAAATGAGAGCCATTTTCTTATTACAAAAAGTTTACTTCCTTACATAAATTAAGGCCATAAGAACTATAGTGGCCTAACTCATTTCTTACAATATTGAGTTTATGATTTTTTCCAGTTCAAATTGATCATTTTGATAGAACCAGAGTGGTCTAAAAGTGATACAACGAATATTCACTAGATGGCAGCATAATTACTGTTACTGTTTTTAGTCTGTGATCTAAATTCTAGGTACCATACTGGCCTAAGTCTGATAGGCCACCATGGTTAAAAAATGAGTTAGGCCACTATGGTTCTTATGGCCTCAATTAGGTATAGGTACTGTTTTCTCGCAAACGTATTAAAATGAAATTCGTGCGGAATTGGTAAATTACGGCGTGATTGTTCAACAGTATTAGTTGTTATTAAAATAGGTTTGCACCTAAAATAAACCTTACTTTTAAAACTTACTGTACATGTAAGCGCCATCTATTATATATTGGTCAGTACTTAATTTACTGTGTGTATTTATTTCTGACATACACAGTAAATTAAAAAACTCTTCTAGTTAAGTATTTACTGTTTGGTAGGTACTTACTGAAGTAGTTTATACGGGACTGTTTTTTTTAATCAATTCTTACCTTCGCAATGTTTGCATATTTTTGTTATAGTAATTTTTAGTGAATAGGTACATATTTCGAAAAAAAAACTAAGATGAAGAAAAATCTTATACATCAAACGTGATTTTTTTGCAGTTTTGTGCTCTATATTAATAACGGCAACAAGTAGACGCTTGAAATATTCACAGACTAATTGAGTTGTATACTGTCTTAAAAATTAAATTAAAATAAATATTTAAGGATGGCTCCCATACAACGGACGTGATTTTATGACGTTTTTTCTCGATATTATGATATAGTGTCTAATGTTGTACAAATAACAGTACGGTATCCTTCGTGCGCGAGTCCGACGTGCACTTGGCCGGTTTTATTAAACAATCCCCACCTTCCACATTTACAAAATTTTATTACAGTGATTTTAAGTGAATAAATATTTGGAAAAAACCTAAGATAAATAAAAAAAAATTTAATTACTTAACATAATAATAATAATAATAATCCATTTATTCAAAAACTGTTTTACAAAATAATATAACAGTCACCCATACTAGGCGAAGCCCGTCCTATGGGGGAAGTAAACAATTTACAATATATTTACGGCCTAAAAATACAAACAAATAAAAACTAAAAAGAATGGATACATTGGTGATACGCGCATATGTATGTGAATGTTTTGTGTGTGTGTGTGTGTGTGTGTGTGTGTGTGTGTGTAACTGTGTGTTGTGTGTGTATTGTGTATATTCAACTTATTATCCTTAAAAGATTCTCTGCTCTGTCATACGTTCATTTTAATAACATTTTTGAGATGTTATTTCGCATCTCCCGAACGGAGCTAGCTGTGCTTGAGATTCGTTAAGTTAATTAGTTGGTTATAAATGTATGGACCGAGAAAAATTCCGAAGCAGAAGAAAAGAGGTAGCAACAGTAACATTTGGTATTGAGAAAACTCTTTTTTGCAACATCTCACTGTATTTATTGCCCCTTATCACCGTTTTGTGCACTGAGACGACCACTCGCATCAAGTATAATTTTCTGATACTATAGACTTGAGCTTCTTCGTAAAGAGCATTAGTAGCATACCTTTTATGTTTTCTCAAGGCAACTTTTAGAACGCTCCTTTGTGCTCTTTCTAGAGGAATGAGTGTCAGAGAACTGGAACCACCCCAAACCAGTATGCAGTAATTAACAAGAGGCTGACACAAAGCTACATAAACCGTCTTCAAAACATTCCAATCGACTGCATCTCGAAGGTTCTTCATGACATTTATTAGTTTTCTCACACGTTTAGACATTTCCGCTATATGTGCTCTAAATGCCAGTTTGTCGTCCAGTACTACACCAAGGTATTTTATGGAGTCAGACTGAGTGCAGTCATCGCAACTGCATTTATCAGAGGGAGGTAAGAGAACACAATCAGCAGAGTGTATTTTAATAGATCTCATTTCGGCAGGCGCAGAAGCCGCAGTTGTATGAAAACATAAGAACTTCGTCTTAGATACATTCAAAGACAAAAGGTTACTACTAAGCCAACTTGATATAAGTCTCATGCCATCCTCCACCCTTTGGCGAACTGCTAACCAGTTCCGGTCATAAAAAATAATGGCAGTAACGTCAGCTTAGCAGCAAACCTCTGCATTTCTTAAATGCACCGAAGCAATGTCATTTATGTAGAGCAGAAAAAGCGTAGGCCCTAGAATGCTACCCTGTGGAACTCCAAACGTCACAGGCCTCGTGCTGCTTTTGATGTTATTGATTCTAACACATTGACTCCAACCCAATAAGTAGCTAGCGAACCACTTAAGACAATTTCCCCATATACCGTACGCTTCTAGTTTCTTTAAGAGGATCGGAAATGATATTGAGTCGAATGCTTTTGCAAGATCCAAGAAGACGCCGATGCATTTGGTACCTTTGCCAAGTAATGAGACTACTGTATTAGTCAGGAGAGTAACAGCATCTTCTGTGGATTTGTTCTGTCGAAAGCCGAACTGTCGATCAAACAATATATCGTTTGCCTCTATGAAAGCTACCAGTCTCTTATTTATGACTCTTTCTAGTATTTTGGATATATTTCCTAGAAGAGAAATCGGGCGATAATTACAGGTATCGTTTTTTTGGCCATTCTTGTAAATAGGAGTAACAGCTGCCTCCTTCCATAATTTTGGAAAAGTTCCTGATTCTATACTCCTATTGAAAATTGTAGTAAGTGGCACTGCCAACATGGGTCCAATAGCTTTTAGGGTTTGAATATTTATGTTGTCTAGACCAGATGAGCTACTTAGGTTTTGAATTAATGATAAGATCTCTTCTGAGTCCGTAGGTGTAAGAAAGAGTGACTTATGTGAAGACTCTTTAATAACATATTTCGATGTCAAGCTTTCATGTGTCTCATTCAACTTTGACAAGATGTTGTGCGCTAGATTTGAACCCATTGACGAGAAATAGCTATTGCATGCTTCCAAGGAGTTTTCCGCATTTCCCGCAATACTTGCTATATCCTGCATGGATGGACTAGACTTTTTTGAGGATCTGTGTGAGATTTTATTTATGGTAGCCCAGAGCTTTTTTGGGTTATTTTTATTTGTTTTTATTTCGGTACTGTCATAGTCAGCCTTTAAGTTTCTGAGGAGTCTTTTGTAAAAATTTCTGTATCTGCAATATATTAGTTTTTTTTTGCGCATTTTCAGGGTCCTTTTTGAAATCTAAGTGTAGTTTGTCCCTGTCATGTTTTGAACAGCGTATTAAGCCAGGAGTCATCCAGGGTTGGATATTGAATTTAGCGTGACTAACATAATGGACTTTGGAGTGTTTGGCTATAGCATTATTTATAGTTTCCGTAAAATCAGTGACTACATCGTCTAGAGAGGATTTATTGGTAGTATCCAACCAACAAATCTGTTCTATTTCTGTCTTAAGAGCATCGTAGTCAATCCTTACCCTCGATCTCATTTAAGGACAACTTTGACTGATCCCCCTATTTATACCCACTATAACTAGACTGTGATCAGTAAGGTCAGTGGGGCAAACAAGAGATTCTGCTTTTACGGCTGTAGGGATGAAAATATGGTCTATACAAGAATTAATATGAGTTGGGATATTTATGCAAGGGGCGAGTCCCTGTTCTGACAAAAGAGTAAGATATGAGGAGTTATTTTCATTACTAGCCGGTAGCCCGAGAATATTTATATTTATATCACCGACAAGAATGAGACAAGGCGACCGTTTTATCAGATTAAAGCAATTTTCCAAAGAGGCAACGAAAGTGGACGTATTTCTAAATGAAGGTGATCTATACAGGCCCAGTAAGGTAAATACATTTGGAACCTCTATTAATAGGCTGATTGCCTCATCAATAGAAGGTTCTTGAACATTTGCTGACCATATATTGTTAACATACGCAATTAATCCCCCGGATTTGTTAATGTGCTTAGTAGCATTTATATCCATCAATATTCCTAATTATAGAAGTCTCATTTAACCAACATTTACAGAATACTATAATGTCAAACGTAATTTTAAATCTTGCCAGGATTAATAGAAACCCATCGAAATTTTTCTGCATGCTCCGTATATTGACGTGAAGTACCTTGAACGTGTATTTGTTTATTATTTTACCACACTCTTCCGGATAGTAAACTTCATTCAAAGTTCAAAGTTCAAAGATTCGTCAATTTCAGATATTAAATCTAGTGCCGCCATGAATATACATAAGTAAAATCGGTAGTTAAATTTTTCAAGGATATATAAGCCAAAATTCCTGCCAAGATGATATGCGGTGTGGAATTATGAATGTTGCAGACATAATAAATGAGTTCTTAAAATCTGATATGGTATCAAATATTTCTAAAGCTTACTTGTGAAAGTTGAAGTGTGTGTGTGTTATAAGGTAGTGTTAATGTAAATTTGTGTAGTATAGTAAACAAATATGTAGAGGAAGCTGATAATATAAATTTTAAAAATTGAAGAATTAGTGAAAATTTAAACACATGCAACAGATGCTGAAGACTTGTCCACCTGCGCCTGCTCTTGGTCACGTCTCGCAGACAGATTTTGTAGATCTTCAGACGAGCGAATCTGCTCTTGATCACGTCTCGCAGACAGCTTGTGTAGATCTTTAGACGAGCGAACCTGGATAGGCGGGCTACCCTCGCGTCCCTCGCGTTTCCTGATGAAAACGGTGCCGTTTTGTACCCAACAAAACTTGTATTTGTTTTCTCTAGTCCCGTTTCGGGCGGTGCGAAAAAGTTGACGGGCCTCATATGTAAGTCGTTCATTAATGTAGACTTTTCTTTGTGGTCCCGCACCAACAATGTCGCAGCTCTCTAGCGTGCGTCTGGTTTTCCCTGCTTTCAAGAACTCATCCCGCTTTAACCTTCTAGTAAATGTAACTACAAGAGGGCGCGGCAGGCGTACCGAGTCCTTTTCCTTTTGATCTTCTGTAATTCGTGGTCCACCCCTATACACATGATTAAGATCGGATTCATTAAGCTGTATGCCAATTTTATTTGGTGTTGTTTCTCCGGGTGTTTCGGATATACCAATAATTTCAATTTGCGACTGCAATGAACTAAGAGTCTGTCTATGTAGTTGATCTTCCAGTTTCGCTATTTGTGCCTTGAGGAGCTCGTTTTCCTTTTCTTTTACCTCTAAAGATTTTAAGCGAGCGTCGTAGTCACTAAATCTCAGTAATAATTGATCAAAGCGTTTTCCGAATTCCGTTTGCAAATTCGCAAAGTCTTGCCGTAGCAGATGCATCTCAGAAACAATCAATTCCAAGCTAGATGTGCCGGAAGGCTGGATATTTTCTTTTTTTTTAGCGGTATCCCCGATTTGTGTCAGGTCTTTATTTTTCTTTTTTGTTTTGTTAGTTTCTATTTTAAGAGTTTTTAAGTCATGCTTGCTCTTTTGCATGTTTATTTGTGCTCTTTCTTTCTTTTTTATTCTTTATAATAATCTTATTTGCTAATACATGTTTTTCTTCTTGTTTTATAATTACATAATTACATTTTAATATATTTAACTAATTTACACACACTGATTTATTTCTATTTACATTCTTAATTATCTATTACAATATTTTCTTATCTTTTACGTTTTGTCTTATACATATTTTATATATTCCATTTTCTACTTTACATTGTTCCCTTTTCGGGTTCTTATTATTTCTATATTCTTATTTGGCTTTCTATGTTACATATTTACAGTGTATATATTATAGGTAATTTACCTATGATAATCGTCTTTATTTCTTTCTATGACTCTTCTCACTATACTCTTACTAAATCTAATAAATATTTCCCTATCTTTGTTTTCCATCATAATTACCCTTAGGTTAGCCTTGCTAAGTTTTGTGTGTAATGCTGTTTGTGCGTCGTGTCTTTCTTTGTTGTAAAGGGGGCATTCTAAGAGGACATGGAAGATGTCCTCTTCGGTGTCGGGATCGCAGACGCAACTTGGGGTGTCCTTCTTTTTAAACCTATGGAGGTAGGCGGAGAAACCTCCGTGCTCGGTAAAGACCTGTGCAGCTATCCTATCGATTTCTATCTTTCTTACGACACCGAAGGCGCTCTCCCCGCAAGGGAAGAACGCCTTCGTTGTGGCCGCCGTGTCCTCGCTCCTATACCTGCTGTCCCATTTTACTTTCGCCATCGCGCGTACATGTCGCTTGACGAAAGAAATGGGACAGCAGTCATAGTGCGATTTGCACTTCAACCCGAGGGCCTCCCCCTTCGCCAGCTGATCCGCTCTCTCGTTTCCGATCACCCCGACGTGGGCCCTGATCCAAAACAGGGACACGGTTTGTCCGTTGTCCCTGAGTTGGGCCAGGTTGCCCTGAATCGCCTTGGTGATCGGATGCGAGGAGTCTGGATCCGCTAGCGATTGGAGAGAGGACCTCGAGTCGCTGAGCAGGCTGCCTCCTTTCATCCCTTCCCTAGTACACACTCCGTGGCTTGAAGGATAGCATACAGCTCGGCTTGGAAGACTGTACAGTATGGCTTCAGCTTAAACTTTCGGGAAAGGACTTCTGCCTGCCCTTCCCAGCAGGTCAGGGCGGCTCCCACCTTTCCCTCCAGTTTGCTGCCATCTGTATAGATGTTCACAAGACCTTCTGCCAGTTTGCTATCCTCCTCCTCATTTTCCAGACATTCAAAACCTAACATTCTGCTGCTACCGGGGTGGTTCGATTCCATGAAGGACACCCTTTTCTCCACCTTTCTCCCCCTCAATATTGCCTGGGGTTTCCCTCGCTTCGCCTCATAAAGCTGGGATGCTTCATGGACCCTTAGGTCCAGCGGAAGCAGCCCCGACAATATTAAGGTTGAGTGACACCGTCCTATAACATTTTGCAATTTTCTGGGCAAACCCCCTTTGCACAACCGAGAATTTCTTTTTGGATTTTATCTTATCAGCCTCCTTCTGCCAGACACTCGCCGTGTATAGGATGACCGGTTCTATTACTGCTGTATATATCGTTCTTATTATTTCCGGTTGGAGACCCCAAGTCGTTTTTGCGGCTCTTTGAATACCTTTGTAGATATTAATTGCTTTGCCGCATATATATATTTTATATGTTCATTAAATGTTAATTTGTTATCTATTTTGAGGCCAAGTATTTTTATTTCATTCACTATTTCTATCGTAATCTCTCCCATGGTCAGTACCGGCGCGTCGAATTTAAGCTTTTTGGTAATGATCATGGCTTTGGTTTTGTGTGCCGCAAAGTTCAGCTTATTCGACACGCCCCATCTCCTGACCAGGGAGAGCCCTACATTGGCCTTTTTCTCCACCGACTTTGAGTCTCCTCCATCCACTACAAGAATAATATCGTCAGCGAATGCCTGACAGTAGATATTGGCGTCGGTGAGCTCGTTTAGGAGAGGATCCAGCAAGATGTTCCAGAATAAGGGGCCTCCTATGGACCCCTGTACACAACCTTTGTTGGTTTGTTTGCTGAATTCCTCTCCCGCGTATCTCACCGACACCATCCTATCTTGCAGGTAGCTGTCTACCAGTTTCCTTAAATTTATTGGGCAGTTAAAGTTTTTTAATTGGCAACGGATCCGCGGCTACCACGCGTTGTCGAAGGCCCCCTCTATGTCCAGCTATATCAGGGCCACTATTCTCTTCTCTACCAATTTGTCCCTGATTCGCTGAACCATATCATAGAGGGAGTCCTCTGTACTGCGCTGCGGCACGAATCCGTATTGCCTATGATTTAATTTGGGCAATATATGCCATTTTTATACGGCGCACTAACATTTTTTCTAAAAATTTACCTAGGACTGGCAGCAACCCGATTGGCCTATATGATTTAGGTTCCTGGTAATTTTCTTTTCCGGGCTTTCTTAACATTATGACGGTGGTCTTTTTCCATCCATGCGGGAAGTGGGCCAGGGCTAGGCACTTATTGAAGATCGCGAGAGCTATTTCACTATTCGCTTTTACAGTCGCTGCACATATGTCGGCTGTGAACCCGTCTCCACCCGGTGCCTTTTTCGGGTTGAACGATTCCACGGCGTGCATCAGCTCGGCTTCCACAAATGGGGGGTCGTGAACATCATGTTCGTCTCCCTCATTTGCTTCTGCCGCCCTGACTCGCACTGACCTGTGGACCTCGTTCTCCCCTACTTCAGTGTCATCCGGGTAAAAGGTCTCCGCCATTATGCGCACCGACTGTTTGGGGCTGGTGGTAGTGCCCCCTCTCGCGATCGGCAGGTCTTCGCCTTGTGCTCTGGTACGGCCTATAACTCTGTAGATCCCGTCCCACATGGATTCCCGGTCTTGCTTTTTGCAGAACTCCTTCCAACTTTTTACTCTGGCGACATCCATCTCTCTTTCGTACTTTTCTTTCGCTTCTATGTATTGCTCGACCACCCATGTTTTTCGACTTGGTGCTGCCCATTTTATTCTTCTTTTCATTCTGTTCTTTTCTTTTTTCATTCTTTCTAACTCGTCGGACCACCACACAATCTTTATTTTACTAGTTGTCTTTTTTAACTTTATATTTTTATTACAATTCTCTTCTATTAATTTGGTGTATTTATTAATTACGTTTTCTAGTTTTTCTACATTATCTATTTTGTCTATTTCCATTTTATTTAAATTATTATTTTTAAAAAGGTTTTGCATTTAATTTTTATACTCCACCCAGTTTGTTTTCTGTGTGTTGTATTTTCTGGTGGTTTTGTTATTGTTATTTATGTGGTTTTTACTATTTCCTAATTTTATTTTAAACGAGATTGTGTTGTGGTCCGACGTTGTCACATCATCCCTCACCTTCCATTCCAGCACCTTGTCCAGCATGTCGGTCGAGCAGTACGTCACATCTACACAGCTCTTATACTCTTTCCCTCTTCGCCAGGTTTGGAAGGTCGGTCTGTCTCCTACGTTCAAGATATGGAACCCTAAATCATTTATATTTCCTAACATTTCTTCCCCCCGGTCATCACTTTTAACGCTCCCCCACCATTCGCTCCATGCATTGGCGTCCCATCCTATAACATTTTTTCTTACTCCTAGTTCTTTTATGGCTCTCTTTACTTGAACCATATATGGGCCGATATCTGTGTCAATAGGAAATCACACCGAGTTCCCATTCTAGTGTTTTTATTTTTATTGTCACTATGTTTGTTGTGGTGAGGTCGGGAAATTGATGGATTTTTATGTTTGGATCAAAGATGGCTATTGCCGCTTTGTTTACTTTCCCGACCTCTTGTGCAGCCTGGTAGAATCTTACCCCGGTGTGACCTCCCACTACTCCCGCGTTGCCCGTATATGGCTCCTGCATCATCGCCAATAATATTTTTGTTTTGGCAGCCTCCAAGATCAGCTCGCTTGTTGCGTTTCTGCTGCGTTGGAGGTTTGCCTGGAGGACGCCATATGTCTCATCTTTCTTACTTGACTCATCTATGACCACCTTAGCAATACACTATCCGAGACCTCGCTATTTTGTCCCACATTCGCGATTGTGGGCATTCTGAGCTGAAGGTGTTGTGTTCCCTATTATTATTTCCAGCTTTTTTGCAGTTGAGGCATTCAGGGGCACGATCCTTTTTGGGGCAATCTACATATATGTGGTCCTCCCCGCAGTGGCTGCAGCTGTCCGACGGCTCCTGACAGACCCGCTTGATATGGCCGAAGCCCAAGCAGCGGGAGCATCGAATAATCGGGGACTGATCCTCTACACGGGATAAACCCCCCTGCAGTTGGATAGCCCCCGCTTCTGTCAGCTGCCGCCATACCACAGATGCTACTTTTAAGACCACATGGGCCACATGTGGGTTTCTTGTTTTCTTTTCGTAGATGGCCTCTATCTGTATATCTTCCTTTCTGCATTTTTGCCCCGTTTTTATCATGTGCCTCCTGACTGCCTCCTCCACTTGCTCCTTTTTCTTCTCCCCCATCACATATTTAACTATTATAAGCGGGTTTTTGTTTACGGCTGTCTCTACTTTTAAACTTTCATTCTTTTCCAATTTTTGTTTCAACTTCCTTGCTTCCTCCTCTTTCGCGCATCCTATCACCACTTTTTGTCCCCTTGCTTTCTTCACTTTTCTCACCTCGTTCCACTCCCCGCCCTCGTCGACCGACTTCCTGACTTGTTCGAACACCTGTTCGCTTGTCAGCCTTGTGTCGGTCGACGCCACTATCAGGGAGTGCAACGAGGTGGGAGCCTTCCTTGCTTTTTGTGCATACGTCTCCTTGCTTACTTCTCCTATCGATTCTTTCACTATAGCTCTTATATTCGTTTCTATTTCTTTATCTGTCTTTCCTTCTCTTTTACTCTTTTTACTCTCTTCGCTTATTTTATCCATTCTTCTTTCAATATTTTCTATTTTTACATTTCCTTTCTTCAGTCCCTCTTTTCCCTCTATTATTAACTCTCTTATTCCTTTCTGTTCTTCCACAAT